AATTATAATAGATCCACACTCTTGCAACCAAAAAGTTCCAGGAATGAATCTGAAAGAAATCAGCAAGTATATATAAGATACAGAAAGTTAAGAATTCAGTAGTATGTCCAGAAAAAGCAACTTTAAAATAATATATCCAGAAGCACCTGAATTTATTAAGTGCACAAACCTATATGTGTTTAGACATTCCAATCCCAGTATGATTCAGACAATACCCATAGGACTTTTTTTCTTTCCAAGCATGCATTGAATTCAACCCTAAGTTACCAATATGGAGAGAAATAAATCTGTATCTAACCTCACAAATAAGAAAACTGAAGCATTTGGTAAAATGACCCTTTCATGGAGATTTACTTTGTATAAAGGAATCGTGATATTGCAGTGTTACCTTAAATAATTCCCAAATGACTGCCAACTCAGAAGTCACTTTTTCACAGCAGAAAACATACTGAGTCAACATCATTACAGTTTACCACTAGTCCCAATTCAGAGTCTACGGAAATCCATTGTTTACAAACTGCCCACTGGAAAAACTGACCATTTATTTGTATTCTCTGCTTCCTGTTCTTTAATAAGACACTGGAAAAAAGAACCTCTGGCCTTCACCCCTGACTACTAAGACTGATGAGGAATCTTTGGTGAGAGACTTTGTCAACAGCATTTTGAAAATCTGTGGGTAGCATCTAACAGTTGCATATCTCCACTGATTTCCTTAGGCCTCATCAATTCTCATCTGCAAATGTGTCCCACTGGTTGTATAAGACAGACTCAGGGACTCCAGGGTAACTAGAAGAAAGTGAAAATGCTTATTTATGGAATGAGGCAAAACAATGGAGTTCCCATAAGGAAGTTCCTCCAACCCATCTCTATTGAGGAACAAGTGCTTCTGCTAATTTTGAAGTGCCCTCTAGAAACCCCTAAATTTCTGTTAGGTAAAAGCAGTGGGTTCTGCCCCTGCAATGAAACCAGCAAGACCCACTGTTTGCACAACAGAAGCAGCTGGGCACAAGATAATCAGTAAAGGTATAAGTGTCCTGTTGGATTCTGCCCCAAGAAACAATGCCGGTTGGATCACCCCTGTGTTCTAGCATATAGTCATTTAGAGTAACTAGAAATATTATCTCTCTGCTCTGACTGGAAGAGATATTTATCAAGACTACATAATGGTAACTGAGATCACCAATCACTTCAATCCTTTGAATGACTCTCTAATTTCATTCCATCTGATGATCTCCCTAAGTGTTCGGATCAGGGAACAATGGTATGTCCCTAGTAGTACTTTTGGGGATTTATATTGTTACCCACAGTGATTCTGTAGAAGTTTTTAGTTTGACACTATATGCTCTCTGCTGTAAGAATTGATAATTTCTCCTTAATGATCTTGCCAGTCATTTCTAAAGAGCACTTTTCAATTTTCTGCTGTCCACAGTTTTGAACTGTAATTCCCAATGTTCCTGATCACTGGCCATGTTGGCAGGTGCTGATAGGAGTCTAAAACATCTGGGGAGGACAGGTTTGCTGTTATGAAATTTATATCCAAAGATGACCATACCCCACTGGTTCTTGCATCCGTTATGCCCAGTATAGCTACAGTTGCCTTCGAAACCAAGCTCTCCAATTCTATCATTTTGGCTTGGAGGCTTCTAGCTTTAGCACAGAAACCCCCATACATAGTGTTCCTCTCAAAATGTCACTGATGCATGCACTGACTGGTTACCATGTTTGGTTATATGCACATGGCCTATTTATATGCCATCCCTGTTATGCTTTGGAATAATAGTATCACAGAATTTATCGCTGTGTTCACTAAAGAAACTGTTGCAAATAAGTTTTATTCTGCATACTGGACCTGTTTCAGAATCTTCAGTCATATTTGCAAAGATTTCCTTGCCTGCTGCTTTCTAGGTGTGAGTTTAACTTTTGTATTTGAATCCACTCTTGCATCAGGACTAATGATTACAAAATGTAACCAGAACATTTCATTTACTTAAAGCACCATCCAATGTGGCTGACTGTAGCCCTCTGAATTTGGAGGATTACAGGCATCCAAATGAAAGGCAGGGAGAACATGGAGGTGAGGATTGCCTACTCCCTTCTGCTGTCCTCCAAAAAACTTACGACAGCTGATTCAACTGTCTAGATGCTGGGATGAGATACCATTAGGACTTCTCTTATTTTGAAAGAGCCTCATTCCTCTCCTCCCTGACCCCCTGCAAATACCCCCAGCAGTAGTTTCACAGTCACACTTGCAACTCTGGAACTGTAACCCAAGCAAAAAGGATCACACTTGGAGGGTGGAGGGAGGGTGTTCTATATTCAGAACCCCAGGGGTTCCAAGGTTGGAGCTTGGGCTCTACATTTTCCTGTGACCTCCTAGACAACATCTAGCAGACACAGAATTGCACTCTTAGAAAGGTAATGAAACTGGCTGCATAAGGTAACCAAGTTCCAGTAACCAAATCCTTGCAATGACAAACTTCTTTTCTGTGTAGTGATAAAGCATAGGTGATTTATTAAAACATAAAGTTTATTATATGCACCAGAATTCATTTATATATTACTTTTCTAAAGGTTTGAAAGATGTGAGAAAAAGTTGTTATTCTTAGCCATCTACATACCCATGCCCTTCTAGTCTGATATTTCCAACAAAGTCATACAGATGTCTGTTAGGACTTTCACATTCAATTCTGCCTGAAAGTCTCATCAAACTGTCCATGTCCTTTATCTCTGATGTCAATGGCAAACCCTGTATAAACAGATTTTTAAATATTATAACAACAATCTATTCAGTAAAGAACAAATCAAGATAACATGGCTGTCTATATGCTAGTCTTGTGGTATACAACTTCTTGAACTTGTAGCAGGAACATAAAAATGGATGCTATAAATGGATCTCTGTATATCTAGAAACAGATATTACCTTTGTAAAGAAAGCAACAGCAGCCCTTAGCACATATTCAGTGATATGTATGCAGGTATTAGCATTGCATGCACATCTCTGGCCCAGGAGAGGCATTCTCCACCCCAACAAGGTCTTTTTCCTTTGATTAACTGCTTCATTTTACCTTCTATGAACAATGATTGCTGGGAGTGAGAAGGATGGCAGCTTTGGGCACTCGTTTTCTAGGACTGCTGGCTGGGTTTCAGAAGAATCATAATCCAAGTGTGAAGCAGATCAAAAGGGAGTTTGGGAGTGGGGGGCATGCCAAGACACTGAGATGAGAGAAGCAGAGGTGCTTATCTCAAGGCCAAACTCCCCAGGTGGATAGGCAGTTCCTAGGAATAATCAAGATATACAACTGGTGGGAGGGGACCCTGAGAATGGGAGCTTCTCAGATACAGACTATGCAGCCCCAGCTCTTAATCCCATGATGGATTGTCAGCAGAGAAGGGCTACCCAATTAAACAACTGGGGCACGGAGACAAGACATGCTTGCTTTCAGAAGGTCCATCCTGAAGGGACAGGGACCAGACAAGCTCATGAGATTTTCTGAGGGTAAATATATACATATAGTGGTACCTTGGCTCATGAACTTAATCCGTTCCACGACTGGTTGTGACCCAAACCGGTTGTGACCCAAGTCAAATTTCCCCATAAGATTCAATGTAAATAAGGTTAATCCATTTTGTAACTATTTTTTAAATCAGAAAAATTTGAAACAAAGTGACAAGGAACAACAAAGTAACAAAGTACTGTACAGAATAGTGGAGAACACTAACCTAGGTAGTGGGGAGGGTATTGTTTTGAGGGAGAGTCACCCTCCATAAGGACATTGGAGAGATCCTTTTCAGGGGTTTCCTCTCTTCTTTGTCTCTTAGCTGCAGGGTCAATTTTGGTGAAAAATCTGTCTATAGTCACTTGTTTTTTCCTGCGCTGCATAACCCTCCAGAAATGAGAGACCATGTTATCGTTCTTCAGATTCAACACTCTGTTCGTTACAGTTGTGTTGGGGTGGTGCTTCTCAAAGAAACCCTGGCACTCATTCCACTTTTTCCAAATGGATTGTATCACATCACTGCTAACCTCCTCCCTGTCTTCCTCTTCCTCAGTGGAATCCTCCTCAGCAAGTGCCTTCTGCTGCTCACTCTGGAGTTCAGCAAGTTCTTCCATCATCAGCTCCTCTATGTCTTCCCTGCAACTGTGATCGTGGCCATCTCCCCACTTGGGCGGGGGTGGGTGGGGAGATGGCCGTGATTGTGCTGGTTGGGGAGAGGGGAACGGCCAAAACTGCACCCGTCTTTCCTGTAGGCGCACGCCTGTGATCACGCACGTCTTCCCTGCATGAACACAACTGTGACCGTGGCCATCTCCCCACTCGGTGGGTGGGGAGATGGCTGCGATCTTGGTTGCCACCCAATGCGGAGTTTGTGACCCAAGTCAAAATGTTCATGAAATTTTTGTTCGTGACCCGATTTGGTTGTGAACCAAGGCGTTCGTGAGCTGAGGCACCACTGTATATTTAAAATATTTGTATGCCACCTATTGTGCCACAGCACCTCTGAGCAGTTTCACAATCATAAATACGAGATTGGATTCAACAAACCACTCTGTACATGCTCAAGAGATTCCTTCTGGACATTTTGTGCTTTTGGATCAACAAAGAATGCTTTACAAGGAAAATGCTCAAAAGATGAACCCTGCTGATGACAATTATCAGTGAGCAACATACACAAAAGCCCCTTTTTGTATCAACATAAATGTATTTCATTGATAGGGAGCAAATTATTTCTTACCTGTCGTATTTTTAGATTAGTTTCACCATCTAAATTTGATGTTTCAATGTAGCACATAGCTTGTGGTTCACTTATAGAAAAGAGATGATCCATTATTATAAGTTATTCAGTTTGGAGCATATATCCATTGAATTGCAACATCATTCTTTAATAAGTCAAGGCTACTTTAAAAAAATGTGAAACAAGACATTTACATTTCCAGAAAATGACTACCAAAATGTGTTAATATTAACAAATATACTATATTAAATTATAGCAGCAAATAAATTTGATCCATACTGCCTTCACAAGTATAATTTAAATAACTTGAATATTCCAGATCCTAAGAGTATTCTTGCCAAGTGTTAGGGGAAAGTGTGCTAGCCAAGTAGAAGTATCTGAAAACAAACTAAAGTCACAATCCACAGGATTGCATAAAACAAAACAATCAACATTCTGCAGAGATATACAATCCTTTGCACAAACAGCTGTGCCAATATGAAGCACACAAGGACCAGCCTACTAGGTGAAATAGCTTGCACAAACTCAACAATTCCAGATTGTCTGATGTTCTTCACTCAAATGTCTTATATTCAAACTTAATAAAATTTCAGGAAGAAATCTGGAGTGCTTGTTTATTGGTTTAAAATTAACCAGTGTTTATTGTTATGTCCAAACTGGGTAAAATTCTGATTAATTTAAATTCTATTTTCTTTAAACAAGCCAGATTCAAACTATAATTTGTGATCTTGGTTATATTGGTTATCATACTGCAGTTTAAACTAATCATGTTTACCAAGTCTGGTTCTAACAATTAATTCTAATCTGTTAGTAGAACCATATGATTCTGATTTCCTCCTGGTAGCCATGACAGTGAAAGCAGCAAGTGAACAAGACCAATGTTTCCTTCTGCTCTTTATACAGCACTAAAATATAGTGTAAAATATAGTGTTGAATTACATTCAAAATTGATTATTATATGGTATACATGATACCCTTCCCCAGCAGGGAAAAAAGGAAACTTGGAATTACTAAAAGAAACACTATACATAATTAGGATTGTGCTGTTTCAGTTTTATCCAAATATCCCAGATAAGGGAAATGCCTCTTTTACATGCAAAAGAGATTGAATTCATTTCTATTCCATTTTCTTTTATTACATTCCTATACTGCCCAGTATTTCAAAGTGCTCATGAAGAACAGGCTATAAGGATTACAGACTATTTAAATTTTATAGAAATATTTATTAGTTCAGTGTAATCCTCTCCAAGAACCCTCCTCTCTCACACACAAACATAAGGCTGCATGTATGCAGCAATTCTGCCAGAGAATTCAGATTCTAAAACTTTCATTTTTATAGCAAATTTACAGTTCTTAAGGTTAAGAACTCATGAAAATGTGTGAGCAGGTAAAATAACAGAACCTATAAAAGGAAAGAATAAATGTTCTAGTGGAGAATTATATGACCCTTTAAAAATGATTGTGGTTAATCTGAACCTTAATATCAATACTAATGTTTAATGTAGTAGCTAATAACGGAATTGTAATTAACTGCATCACAAGAGAGAGCTGGCATGACACCTAACAATATATTTAATATGGTTTGCCTTATTTGACACTGTTGTATGAATACTATTGAGTAGAATTTTAAAATATTCCAATACTTAGGCAGGCACTCCTCAACTTTGTATTGAGTTCTTTTCTTGGCCATCTTTTCTATAAATGTAAATGACTGACTACTGTTAGAATCTACACAACTTCAGTCTAGTAGTCATTTGATAAATAATAAATTTGCATTTGTAAATTTAATTTTGATACATTTAAGTTCTGACATAGTTTATGTTTTAATGAATGATAGCTAAAGTTGTAATCATATATACATTTAGCAGGCAGACAGTCCAACTGATGCCAATGGGGGGTTATTTCTGAGTAGACATGCACAGGACTGCCTTATATACCTGCAGTCCTATGCACACTTACATAAGCTTAAGTCCCACAGATCACAATGGATTTGCTTCTCATTTAACATGTATAGCATTGTGTAACATATCTTGTGAAGGACTTTGAAAATAAAAAAAGGCAGCAGAAACATGAAACATAATGAAGCATGCTCCATTCCTGGAGATAATAACCTTTACTTCTCAGATCAGATAAATTTCTTTGATTAATGACATCAAAGTTAGATGCAATCACAACACAGAGTACTATTCAGAAACTAAAGTGTAACGAAGTATCATGCAGTACTTTCATGAACAAAAATAAAATAAGTGGCAACTGCATGCAGTACAAAATGCATAACATTTAATTTTGTGCAGAGGGTCCTCTACAAGTTTTAAAATATGCCAATTAAGTTTCAGTCCTATGTACCTAGAAGTAAGTCCCACTGAACTCAGTGGGGTTTATATCTTAGTAGACATGTACAGGATTGCACTATTAGGGTACTAAAGAAAATTACTGAAACCAAGAAGTTATGGTATAGAATGAATATACATATTAGTTAAACCTTTAAAGAGATAGTACATGTAGAAACATTTCAAAGAAGTAGTTTCTTTTATAAAGATATTACATTAATTATATTAAGTGTAGCATAAATATATAACAGGAAAGCAGTTTTTATTACCAAATACTTTATATCTGCATTTGCTACAGTGCAATCCTATGCAGATTGACTCCAAGGTCCCATTGTTTTCAATGTGACTTACACTGTAGTAAGTGTAGTAAGGAAACTGCAGCCTCTACAAGGTTTTTAAAAACTATGGTTAAGTGCTGTTACTGCTTTAGCCCAAGCAAAACTCATGCATTTTCATTTTAATCTAATGCTTTATTCGATACACAATTAATATATTGTAAAAGACACGCTTATTTATATCACTTAATTTGGCATATTAGGACCCACATACAAATGTCTTCTGAAACTTGTTGATTCTAACCTTGATGACAGACTGATGAGATCAGCTGGGAGATGTTCCCCATTGGTCACTTTCACTATTTCCCCTACTGCAATCTACATATCCCAGTTTTAAAATGATTTAACAGAATAACAATTAAAGGGAAAAAATCAAATGGAAAAAGACAAAAAGAGATAGAGAGTTGGAAATTACTATACAAAGCATGTTAATAAATCCTTAATAGCTTTTTTTCAAAATCTATTTAAACCAAACCAGGGAAAATATAGTTAGAGAGAGAGAGAGAGAGAGTGTGTGTGTGTGTGTGTGTATCCAAATTTAAACATATATCTTTAGACACAAATGCCAAGAAAAAAACCCCCCTGATATATAGTTAAAATGTAAGCATCTAATTATTTAAAAATACAGAATTAGAAGTTAGATGGTATTTAGTTAGGGCAAAATATTGCTGGGGTCTGCTTTACCTAAAAAATTTTATCAGAGCACAATTAATAACCATTGGAATCTAGGATTCTTCCAAAGAACCCATATTTCCTCAAGAAATTAAAATAAATATTAAGTGTAAATATCAGAATTCCTGCCGGATTTTCTCAAATAATTTTTATTTCATTTTTACATGAAAACTTTCCTGTAGGAGTACAACTGGACCTTGAGGGAAGAAAAAATAACATTAAACTCCTGAGTGTTTTAAACTTGCAAATCATTCCAATTTAAAATGGGCCCTAGAAGCAGCTGTTCCCTTTATTTTTTTTTTTCTGTGCTAGAAGTACTTCTGATGACACTTGTCTACCCTGGCTTCACCCTCATTCCAGCCCTCTGGATGCTGACCCATAAACACAGGAAGTGATCTGAATAAGAATGTTTGTAATTACAGTGACTGTATGTTATGATTATGACTGTATGTTTGAGCTTTTTCAGGCCAGTAACTCTGGATCCTGCGGGAGATCCAGGCTAGGGGGTGGGGTGAAGAGGGCTATATTCATCACAGTTGAGCGAGTGACAAAACCAGGCAAGTAAGTCCTGAAAATGCCACGCTAGTTGGGTTTGGGCATGTTCTTCTGAACTATCATGGGTGCGTTTAGAGTAGGCCGGGGAGGTTGAGGCCCTGCAGAGGTCAAACTGCTACTGCCCCCTCTCCCCGTGACAGGACAGATGGAGCGTGGAGTCCAAGATCATCAATGGCCACAAGTTTGCCATAACTCTCTAGCATATATTCTGAACATAAATGGTAATCCATTTCATATTTATGGATTTTAAATCTTTTAAGCCAAGATGCACCGGGTTTTAATATTTTTATTGTATAATTGTTATATTTATGTATTTTGTTTTTGTTGTGAGCCACCCCGAGGCTTTGTTGTGACGGGGGCGGCATAAAAATGTTTTAAATAAACAAACAAACAAATAAATATGCTACAAATACCTACACACCAATGCGGAAGTAAGAGATACATTGTATAACCAACATCAGTCATGGTGGAGATAGCAGTGGTATAGCATAAATATAACCTAAGATCTTCTCAGTGTCAGCACTAATAGTGATGGTTGCTGATTATGTTATGTGGCATTAGTTGGCACCAGCTTTTATTTTGCTTCCATTTCCCCTCAGTAGCCCAAAATGTGATAAGCACTGTCAGATCTCACAGCACTTATCATAAAATAGGTTTTGGGGAGGAATTTTATGCATGAAGCAGCAGCAGCAGCAGCAAACCTCAAAGAAGGCTGTGGAGGGAAGCAAGTCAATACTGTATTTTACTATATTATGGTTTCAGTTTTACTAATTCTACTAGCCTACATTTACTCAGTATAAAGTCCCACTGTTTTCATTAAGATTTGATTCCAGAGAACATCTTACAATAAAATCTTTTGAATATTTATACAGAAGCAAGTTTTACAGTTTTCAGTGTGGCTTACAACTAGGTAAGCATGACAAGATTGAAGCATAAATCTGTTCCATATGGCTCTTGTAGTACTCACACCCTGGCCAAAAAGCATGGTGCTTAGAGAGGACAGCAAGCAGTATAGCTGTATTCTCTGAACTAGTGATCTAGAGCGGGAAGTCCAAAAACACATAAAACTCCACCATGGCTATAAGAACTTCCTTAGGAGTATCTCAAACGTATAGAGAGATGTAAGTATACTGACATGTCTCCGTTTTGCATTTCCTCAAGAGGACAGAGAAGGATTTCAAGTCAACCCTAAATTTTAAACTAACAGGCTTCTAATTAAGGCACATGTTTTTACTTTTTTATATTTGCAACAGTTATCATGAAATATTGGATACTTGTGATGCACAGTAAAAGTACTGGTACTTGCATTGAAAACAGAATTCCAATTAAAGCAGAAAGCCTTGTGCAGATGGTAATATATACTATACTGGTCCCACAATCCAAATCATATTATTATTTATCCTAGTGCCCTTATTTCTGGGTGGTTCACAATATTTAAGTCACCCATCCAAATTTCAACTAGGCCCAACCCTGTTTAGCTTTCAAGATTAGGCTAGATCAGGATTTCAGGGTATATAGAAGCTGTGCGTGTGCGTGTGCACACACATGAGCCCAAATAATTGATGCCTCATTTTAACCACAAAGCAATTAAATTATAATAAATTATTCACTTGGCATTTCTAAAAACCTTCTTTTAAGATTATTTAAAATAGTCTATTCAAACATACAGTGCAAGCAATGACCTGATGAGATAGATTTTGAAAAAAAATGCTTCTACAGATCCAATGTGGATTTACAAATAAAATTGCCAAGGAAATAGAGATATAAACAACCTCTAAGATTAAACCTTGAAAAGATTAAATCTTTTTAACATTAAGAAGTATAATGTTGCATGTAATTTTTGTTGAATGGACTCAGGTGACAAATTAAATAAAGCAAGACTAAAAATGCCCAACGTCAGGAATTATGTGAATAAGGAAAATAACATCAAATGAATTAGAATCCTCTATCCTAACAAGGCATTTATCCATTCATAGTAATTCATTTTGTTTTATCATAAAACAATATTTCAGTAATGTGGTATTTTAGGTTTCTTCATATAATTAGGATTAGTTATAAGAGTACTTCAGTTTATTCTTTATTTCCTTGGAGTAATTATAAAGTCAAGGCAGGGTAGAGAAACCAGCCTCTACACTGGAAGCATTGATAAGCATCTCTACCTTGATGAGAGAAGTACAGTGTCAGCAGGTATATAGTCTTTGCCTTTTATTAAAACTATATCTCCAACATCTACCTGAAAGAAAACTAGGAATTGGTTAATAATCTGAAACTATCAGAACAGCCCTTAACCTTTTACTATATTAAATATATATTATAAAAATGGTAAGCTGTGGAGGCCAGTTGTTCAAAAGGTACCAGAATGCCATTACAAGTACAACCGCCTATATGACTTCCTATACACTAAAAGGCTGACTCAACTTCTACATTTATTTCACAATTTGTAGTCAAAAATATGAGTTCAGTTTGTAGCCTGTTTCATACCAGTATTGCTTATTCTCTCTGGCAGCAGTTCTTCTAAACCTTAGGCAGGGATCTTTTCCAGAACTAGGACAAACAATTGTTTTAAGATTTATGCCTGTCTGTGCTGTGTTGGAAATATAATTCCTGGCTAAAAATTAAGCTATTATAGGGAAAGCCCCATCCAATCAAATTTCTGAAAGTTAATCTTTTTCATGACTATATTGATTCAATAGAACATGAAATAAAAAATATGTCAAGCAGATTTTGCAATTTAGTTTTCTATTGTTTACTTAGTCATAACCAACATCTGTAATCAGGTTACAAAGCTGACTTAATGGAAACCCAATCACAGACATAACAGTTAGAATAGTGTACTATACTGTACTATGCGAGCCACCAGATACAATGTAATGTCCTTAAATATCTTAATGGTGTTCAGCTAGTACTACGTTGCATTAATACGAATGCATTGGGCCATCCTGAAAACCTTCAGGCAAGGGCCTGCTAGTAATCCACTGTCCCACCAATTCTTGTGTGGCTCAGGAACATTGTATAAGGGCTTTTTGTTTCTTTGAAGTGCTGACAGTGTAGGGCTAATGGCTGTTGTTGTCCAAGTACAGGGAACGAGGTTCAGCTTCTAGTACCAAGTGAGGATACAAAATGTCTTTTTCAAGTGACACTGGGAAACTAGCCACTGACTTCACATAACATTCCATGGTTATCTGTGGGTTAGTTTCATAGATTTAAGCATCTTTCTCATTTCTAACAGATCATAATTCCACTACTGAACTTATGCTGAAATGTCCTATAGGTCATATAGGTCACTTTCATCTAAACAACTAACAGTGACGATAATTAAAGTAAATCATTTTGACAGATGTAATGGTTTGGTTCCAGAGGTACTGCCGAAACTGTCTCCTGCTCATAGAAGCTTTATTTAACCTTACACTATCATCACTGTACAAAGAGTGAAACAAAATCCTAAGTTGTTTTTTCACCCACACAAGAGCTTATGCCCAAGCATACAAATAGCGAAAAGATCTATGTAGCATTACATAAAATCTACCATTAGTGGTTGCAAATATTTGGAAACTTAACAACAGCAGATATTTATAAAGCCATTTATAGCTCCTTGTGTCGAACACAGTGATGTCCTGGTCCTCACATAATAAGAAGCTACCATGAGTGAATTTCATCATGGCATTACAGCAGCCTCCATTTTCAATATCTGAGTTACAGCAGGGGTGCACTAGTGAGGGTAGGCTGTTGGGGGCCTAACAAGCTACCCACAACTATGCCAACCACCCCAACAACGCACCAATGCTTAGTTCACACATGATACCAAACTACTGTATGTTCCTGTTGTAGCTCAAATATTCAGAAAAATGGCTGCCACTGCAACAAAAAGTCCATGGTGGCTTCCTCTTGCGTGCAAACCAGTCCAATATATGTGTTCTCAAGAAAAAAGATCACATACCTTTTCCCAGTGAACTATTTCCCAAGCTCCATTTCTCAGTACTACATAATTAAAAAACAATGAAAATACAAATGTTGTTGTTTCAAATCAAATCAAACTCAACTTTATATTTTTATCGAAATTGCTTCAAAACTTCATCATAACCATCTAAAAGTTATATGAATAATAATTAAAGCAACTACCAAAGATGCAATCCAATGTCTGCTTAGGCACTGTTAAAGCACCAGCTTTGAACTTGTAAAAGCATTTTAAGAGCTGGGACTCCAACTATGGAGCACCCTTTTTCTACCCTTGCAGCCTGTATGTTTCTTTCCATGCAGACTCTGGCTCTGAAATCACAAGTGAGATTTGAGAGCTGTCAGGGAGGGGGCATTCCAGGACCAAGGAGGAGAACAGTAAGACTCTTCTAGATGAGGAAGAATCGCAGTGGTGCCATGGCCTCGCCACCTTGTGAACGGGAGCACACATCCATGTATATCTTTTGTGAGGTGGAAAAAGCATAGAGGCAATCCTTGCTGCCACTCTCCTCTAACCCTCCAATGGATGTCTGTAATTCTCATAGGCAGCTAGATGGGATAGCATTCCATGTATTTTAACTGACATCTTTCACTTGTGTACCAACACAATATATTTATTAAATATAAAATCTTCATATTTGGAATTGTTATTGATGTTATTTGTTACTGTCTTTTTTTGATAGACCACACATGGAACAAACAATTTAGACATCAGAGAGGCATACCACCAGAGACAGGGATGAGTGTCCTCAACCGCAGTTTAGAGCCAACACTGGTGGCTTAAAATTTCTCAAATTTCTTAAGTACATGACAAAAGGTAACAGATCTATTTTATTTATTTGTTTGATTCTAAATTTCCCAACGGTCAAAGCTCTCTGGGCAGTTTACAGTTGCACATAAAATACAGTATAATTACAATCTGCAATAACAAAAGTAAAGCATTATAAACATTATTCTACTGTATTTAAAAGCCACATTGAAAACCAAGTACAAACAAGTAGCACAAATAAGACATGTATTCCATATAATAAAACATGCTCCTGCACTGATGCAGTTGATGATAATATGCAGTTATATTATGTAGCTGCATCTATTAATGTGGTAATAAAAGTAAAGGGAATCAAATATGCCATAAATTTCAATTTTCTTCAACATACATTTAAAATACTGTATTATTTTTGTTCTTACCTTGTATTTGCTTCTTGTTCACAGCATTATCAGCTTTGTGCCTTTTCTAAAAGAGAAATGTATACATGTTAAACTACTGTAATTAAATACCAAAATATGTAAGAAAGTATGAGATAATAATCTACTAAGGAATTTATGTTGGGATGAGGGTCCATGCACATTGGCTCTTTAGCAGCCATACAACCATTTGATTATATCCCTATGGCCACAGAAATAGAAGCTCCATATCCTGTATCACTGCCCAGATCAGACTGTCTTGATTCCTAATGCAACCATGAAAATCTGACAAGGGTAGCTTCAGATCATAAAAAAGATTTTGGCCTGGACCTAAAATAAATAAAGCATCAGCACCAGGAGCACCTCTTTTGGGAACAGGTTCCAAAGCTGGGATACTACTGCAGAAAAGAACCTTCTTCGCATAGCCACTCTTCTGACTGCCTTCAAAGAGGGCTCCTAAAGAAGAATCTCAGAGGAAGTTTTTAAAGCTCAGTCAGGTATATGTGGAAGGAGATGCTCCTTCATATATCCAGGCCCTAAACTGTTTAAATTAAAGTCAAAGTTAACACTTTAAATTGGGCCCAAGCTTCAACTGGTAGCCAGTGCGGATGGTAAAAGACTGGCATTATATGTTTGTGCCTGCCAGTCCCTATAAATAGCCTGGCTGCTCTATTTTGTACCAACTGAAGTATCTGGACAATCTTCAGGGGTAGCTCAATGTATATTGTGTTACAATAGTCCAACAAAGTTATCAGAGCATGGGCCACTGTTGCTAGACTCTGCTCATGCAGGTCAGGATATAGTTGGTGGATCAGCTGAAGTTGGTGGAAAGCATTCCTCACCACAGCGGTCACCTGGAATGCCAGAAATAATGCTGGGTCAAGGAATACTTCCAAACTATACACCCTGTGCAACCCTCTCCATAACAGGACAGATATCACTTACCAGGTAGCTGAACCACCTACCAACAGAACCTCCATCTTATCTGGATTAAGTCTCAATTTAATGGCCCTCATCCAGACCATCACACCAGAAAGTCACTGCCTCACCCAGATTTTCACTAACAGAGAAAGAGAGGTAGCTGGCATAGTTCTTTCCAAGTCAGCTTCACAGGAACAGGACAGGGGCCCAACTGTCAGATTCCCAGGAGTGAGATCACAGGACCTCAGTGCTGAGACTCTGAAGAATCCCATGGCCCCCTCAAGATGATTTTGGGAGGCCACAGGTTTCCAACCTAATTCATAAATTAAACTAAATGCCAACTGAAAGAAAGTTATTTTCAACACAGGCAGTTTACACATTTGGCTGAGAGTTATCAAGTAATGAACATGAATGTGTGAAGTGACCTACATAACTTACAGCTGAATATTCATGAGCTGCTGCTCCTATTTAAAAGTAATGTGAGGCAATTACCCAGGCATAGGAACATTCAATGGCAATTTTTTAAAATGTGTAACAGAACAATCCTAAATGTGATGGGAATGAGAGAGAGAAATGGTGGAATTGTTTCTTAAACTGATTTCACTTAAGCTTATACTTGAACTCCATTTGGGAGCAAGTCCAATATAATTTAAACAATATATGTTACTTGACCATAAGGCACTAGCGGTCAATGGCATGTGGAAAACATTTTATTTAATACTTACAACATCTTCTATAATTTCTTTAACTGCTGCTACTACTAAAATAAATAAGAGAGGAACCAAGGTTGTATAACGTCCTGTTGGTGAAACATCTGGAATTTGCTAAGGGAAAAAAAGAACATTTAGACTTTAGAATTTAAAATGTTGCCTCTGGACTTCTTTCCCATACAGTAAGCACAGAAACTTCAGTAATATTCCATTTTCTTAGACACATTTCATTTTATCTTTAAATATCAGTATCTTAATAAAAATATAAAAAATCCTCAGTGTAAAACAAGGAGTTCCAGTTAAATTTCCTCTGAAATTCTACCGTATCAACAATTAGAATTAGAAGACAATATGGCACATCAGGGCACTTAAAGCAATTTTACCTATGACATATAACAAAAGCTATTAAATATGTATTTACCTAATTTAACTTACCTGAAGCAATGCAATGAAAAGAAAAAATGCATTAGCAGCTCTTCTGAACTGGGAATAAAGGAACCTTGGCAGGAATGTGATGAAATTGTATTTTGCAGTGCTGAGAAACAAGAGATAAGAACAGTGTAGGTTAAGAGCGGCAGGTTGCTTATGTGCAATAGTCATTCTTCATGTGGTTATCTCTGCATTCAAAAATATGGGCTCTACACCTGTGTGAAGCTTGTTGCCAGGAAGATCCAATGGCTATGAGCATTTTGGTGTGAACCTCTACTCCCCCTTGGCATCCATAGAAAAGGGAGAAGCTCCCACATTTCCCTCAATTCCAAACTGAGGTGGCCTTGGGACTGAGGGAAGGATTGGCAGGACTGACCTCATATTCAGTTAAGCAGTACAGTAAGGGAAAGAACAGACAGGCACATAAGCACAAACTATTGAGTCATTCATTGCACTCAGAGTCGGGTAGGGGGATGGACTGTGTGAATGCACAGGTGACCACTTGAAGAATGACAGTTACTGGAAAGCAACCTGGCTTTCTTTTCATGGCCTCTGTGCATCACACATATGGACAACTGGCAAGCTTACCCATTCCTGGATGGCTGGTGTCATCATTGGAGTATTGATAAGAGGACTCTCCTGAATGTACGGTCAGCCCAGGAGTGAACATCAAGTCCTTGGTGAAGGTGAATAGTGTTGACCAGGTTGCTGCTTTGCACATATCTTGTGGAGGGACAATTGCATGCAATACTGAAGTCACCCCCATTTGAGTTGAGCATGCTTTTGGCAGCATTCTTAGTTGCAGGCCTGACAATTTGTAGGCCAATGAAATTGTCTATACCACTCAGACTGAAACTCTGTGGTGAAAAGGGCTGCTCCTCTGCCTTGTCTCCATAATAAAACAGTCTGGGGGGTTCCACAAAAAGATTCCATTCTGGAGCAATAGAATGCCAGCACTCTATGTGGAACCAGTATATGCAGCATAGATTCCACTGTGTTGGATGAATATGGGGGAAAAGTTGGCAAAAAAATGTCCTTGTTCAAATAAAAAGAGGAGGAAGGAATGATCTGGATGCAATACCACCGTGTCCCAGTAGAAGGCAAAGTATGGAGGATCTATTTACAGGGCATAGAGCTCGCTTGAGCATCACCACCAGAAATGCCACCTTCCATGAAAGATGAAGATCAATCATTGCCAGGGGGTCAAACAGTGTCCTCATTAAATCTTGCAAGATGATGGACAAGCTCCAAAATGGCATCAGCAATTGTGTAAGTGGGACACTGTTCTTTAGGCCCTTTTGGAAGTGCCTATTCGTTAGATGAAGAAAAAAAAGTCAACAAACATCATGTCATGGAAGGAGGAAATGGCCACTAGGTGAACTCCAATAGACAATGCCATCAATCTGTGCTGAAGCAGCATGACCAAGTAGAGGAGGATCTGTTCAGTTGTACAGCTCTTGTGATTGAAGACTTGGGAGTCAGCAAAGACGGAAAAGGCTTTTCACTTCACTGTATGTGATTTCCTGGTCACTGAAGTTAAGGCTATTTCTAGGGTGGAATGCAATCACTGGTGGATAGATGACTGTGAGTCCCCTGGGGATGGATCCTCTGTGCTGTTAGATGGAGGGTGCTGATGTTCCAGTGTAGGATCCTCCCCTGCTCCTGTAAGATCAGGTCAGTATCAGCAGGAGAGAGAGTCAGTTCTTCTCAGACATATCTAAGTTCATTAGGTCCCATGAATTTCGGATAGTTGCAGGTGCAACAGAGGTATTCCACCCCCTCTCCCCGAACTTGGAAACATCCTGTTAAACACATTTGCTCTTAAAGGTTTCTGTCCAAACACTTGGACTTGAGGGGCTTGGGTTGTATGCCCGTGTCTGTAGATAGTGGAGGAACAAACCTGGAGTTTGCTAAACAACATGCCTGCTGTTTCCTTGCTCTGTCCTCTCAGGTTAACTCCATCCAATGGTGTTCCTTGCAAGGTGGGCCACTTTCACTTAAAGCTGGCCCTCTCATTCTATGCATTTGCGATCATGCAGAGCAGCTAACATTTTACCTCAAAGCAACTTACAATACTCCATTGTTTTGTGCTTGGATTGGATAGCTAAACCCAATCCTCAAATTTCCTGGGAGGACTGTGTTGTGGGTTTTCCTTCTACCTTTTGCTTTCCACATTGTATTTCTCCTCCCAAACTCATGCTGTCTTGGCTCCATTCTGCAGGATCCCACCTTGACCTGTGTCCTCTACCTCTTCCATTCTTCATCTTCATTTCCAATATTTTGGGGGTGTTTTTGTGGAGCACCTGCCTCCCTCACAGTTCCTGTGACTGTGGCATGGACTTGATCAGCAATGTGGCACAGAGCTGGGGGTAGTTTGTTCCTGGAGTGTGTAAAACTCTTGAAGCAAAGTAGTTGGGTGGGATCTTGGTGGAGACGGTGTTCAAAGTAACAATGTCAGCTTGACAAAATGCCCTTACCCCACAGATAGTACACTGGCCTGTAACCAGAGCAATAGGAGCCCCACAACTCATAGAAAACCCTATAGGGTTGTTGAGCCCACGAGACCAACCTTTTGTCCTAGTCTAAGACTGAGGAGTGAAAGCGTTCACTGCAGTCATCAATACCAAGCAGTTCTGGAGGACACTGAGCTGCAGAAGCTACAGCTAGTGCCCCTGAAACTATGGCTGATGAAGGAAGATGAGAAAGAGGAGAATCTCAGATCTCCCCCTCCACCACCAAGGCCAAGATGGATTCCAGCACTGGAGCCAATACAATACTGTCTTCCATGGTTGTTTCCAAGGTGTTTGGTACCAGCCAAGAGTTAGTAGGGGCAAAGAGTCTGGTGCTGCTCAGACTTGTTCATGAAGGAGTCCTTCAGACTTCGTTTCTTTGGCCTTCTTGGCCAACTTTTTTGACTTTCACCACCTTCTCAGGAGCCAGAGGAGGTGATGGCTGCTACAGATGCCCGAAGTGTCAACCATGTGGAAGGCCTTGTTCCAAAGCTGCACATGGAGTGTTTATGGGCTTGTTTCCTAAATGCCTGGCTACAGGGACATTGGTCCACAACCTTCCCTTTGCATAGGCATAGAAGACATAGTGAGTGCCCATCAATTCGGGGAAGCTTATCTCCGCACCACCACATATGTCTGCAGAATGGTGCCTTTGTTGCCATCAGAGAAGCAAGGAAGGGAGGAAAAAAAATTGGGAAGAAGGTGGATCAGGGAGGGAAAAATAAAGAGGCCTTTTTTCCTCCAAATGGATGTCAGAAAGGGAGTGGTTAAAGAAAAAGTCACAGGGGATCTGAGGAAAAAAAGGTAAGAGAGAGAAAGACACTAAGAAAGATTACTAAAAGTAGAAGATAGAGAAAAACATGAAGAAAAACATTAAGAGAAAAAGAACTTCCTAAAGATGTTCAAAGAACTATGGGAAATGGCAGGGGCACTTTCCTTTTATATGATTCCCAGGGTTGGGAAGGGATTTTTGCCAAAACACACTTAGCTATTGAATCCTCCAGGCAACAGGCTTCACTCAGGGGCAGAGCCCATTTGTGTGATGAAGAAACCACATAGAAGAATATACTATCTTATCATATATTATCTTATCATAAAAATCTTATCATACCCTGCATTCAAATTTGAGTAAATGAAGTATTTATGTCTGAAAAACTTCTTTGTTAATTCAGTTAGCTGTAACTGCTTAGATATTTTATGATATCAACCAATATAAATATTATGATCCTTTGCACATTGATACCTTTTAATATAATTTAAAGCAGTATTCCAAAGCTAGAATACTCAACTAGTAGGGGTACCAAAACAATATCTAAAGCACACAAACCAGTTTGTTTGTAACTATTTTGTCAAATGCTGTAGGAAGAATTAATGCATATGTATAACAACTACAGAATGCCAGTCAAAATCTGTTTCAATAAACTGCCCTTACCAATTCCGTATCTGTAGATTCTGAGTACCTGGACCTATATTTTCTTGCAAGCTTTCAAAATCTACTAATGTGGAATGCATGCCCTAACCTTTTTAAGGGAATTGGAGCTTAACAGTTCATCTTTCAAAAAGTGTATGGGGGAACAGTCTGACCTTTCTTCAAACCCACAGAGGCTTGAGACAAACAAGAAAAGTCCCCCCACCATGAAGAAAAAAATGGGAAAACATGAAAGGAGAAAAATCTATTCAAGAAAGGAGTGCTGTTTAAAAACAACAACAACCTTAATCTCAGAAAGAGGGTGCTGTTCACAAAAGACAGCCTCTTTCAGTAAATGCTCCCTTGTGCCTTCGCTTTCAATGGATGGCTCACTTCTACAAGCCAGCCATTAAAAGCAAGATGAAAGAAAAGGAACAATCTGCATAGGGGGCAGTAGAAACCCTGTGCACAATGGGTAGGCACAATGGATACAAGTAAAAAAAGAATCTTTCTGCACCCATGTGTGCATGTAAAAAAAAAAAAGAAAAGAAAATGGTAGGCAAACATGGGCATCCCCTCTAAGGTGCCTCAGGGAATTTGAAGGGATGGCTCAAGTCTGTTCCTTAAGGGGATAGTGAAAGCCTTCTCTGCAGATGGCCTTTGCCATCTTGGAAAGAAAAAAATTAAAGAAGCAACCATGGTGAGCCAAAATCATTTTGTCATCATTACTGCCACAGAGAAGACTCATTCCTTTCCACAGTATCCTCTGGGATACCACCTTGCTCTTCATCAAACACAACACCAAAACTGTTTTGGGAACACAGACCTAGCTGAGTTGTACTTTGATGCCAGCCAATTATTCAGTCCATTTCACTGTCTTCACAAAAAATACCCATTTATTTAATACTGAAATTTACTAGAAACACAAAAATAAAGTTTGGTGAGGCAATTTATTTATCTTAAAGGAAAATTGTGATAACAATCAGGGAAGATGCCCACAAACATTTTTAGGACTTTAACATGGCGATGCTAGGCATACCAGATAAATGCAATTTATTTATTTATTTATTTATTTATTTATTAAAAGCTTTTGTATGATGTCCTATTATACAAGATCTCAAGATGGCTTACAATATTTAAAAGGACAATTAAAACAACAATTTCAATAATAAAACAGAACAAAACAATAAACCAAACAGAGCAACTAAACTTAAAAACTATTAGAGTTTAAAATACTGTTTAAATAAAAAGGTTTTGGCCTGGCACCGAAAAGAGTATAAACTTGGCGCCAGGTGTACATCTCTGGGGAGTACATTCCAGAGTCTGGGCGCCACAGCAGAGAAGGCCCTACTCCGAGTTGATGACCTTTTTACCTCTCCTAGAGAGGGTTCACGGAGTAGGGCTTCTCCCATAGATCTTAAGGGGTGTGAGGGCATATAAGGAAGGAGACATTCCTTCAGGAAATTAGGAAATGTTGAGTAGTGGTTCCTTTAATTAAAAAAAGATCAAGACATGTCAACCAACAAATGTCAAACTCAACGTTTTTACAATCGTGCCTAAAAATGTTCAACATTCAGAAATTTCAAAATGTAACACAAATGTTCTTTCAGACCTTAAGGTTTAATGCCCACTACTGAACAATGCAAAACTCTTTTCACAAATCCACAAGAAGAGAGAATTAGTTGCTTCCTTGAATACTTAATTCCTGCCATACTTTGCTTGCTATAGGACATTACTTTCCTAATTTTCACATTGTAAAAATTAAGTATAAGAATATATTGAAGGAATATATAAATTAGTTATAAAAAGTTAGTTATAAATACCTGACATGATTGTTACAAAATTTAGAGAATTGCGGTTGATTGATAAAAATAGTTCTCACTTCCTCCTGATCAGCAAGCGATGTCTTCTCTGAAACATCATCTGTCTTCTCATATCCTGTAAAATATGAGAATAAAATACCTTGGCTCATGAACTTAATCTGTTCCACGACTCTGGTCATGACCCAAATTGGTCGTGAGCCAAGTCAAATTTCCCCATAAGGTTCAATGTAAATAAGGTTCTGTAACCATTTTTTAAAATCACAAAAATGTGAAACAAAGTGAAAAGAGCAACAAAGTGACAAAGAGCAGCAAAGACTGTGCCATCTCCCCCCAGACCACGACCACACCCGTCTTCCCTGCATGAGTGCGACTGCATTCGCGACCATCTCCCCAAGCCCCCGAGCACGATTGTGGTCATCTCCTCCCTGAGCACGACCGCGATCACGCCCGTCTTCCCTACATGAGTGCGACTGTGGCCATCTCCCCACCCCCCAGCACGATCGCAGCCAACCCCCCCCCCCCCCCCCCCCCCCCCCACCCCCCCCCCCCCCCGAACACGACCATGATTGCAGCCATGCAGGGAAGACAGGCGCAATTGCAATTGTCACCCGATGCAGAGTTCACAACCTGAGGCAATATTTTTCTGAAATTTCTGTTCGTGACCCGATTTGGTTGTGAACTGAGGCGTTCGTCAACCAATATACCACTGTATTAAGAAAACAGAAACCATGAGAGTATGGAATTAACTTTTCTGTTAAAGATGAAGAAACTGAAATTGTGAAAAAAATTATATACCTTGGCTCAGTCATTAATTCAGAGACTGTAGCCAAGAAATTTAAAGACTGAAAATTGGAGGGGCAGCAATGAGGGAACTGGAAAAGATCATCAAGTGGTGATTTTTCTTCCTGATAGGAAGAAAATTGATATATTTAAAACATGGTGCTATAATACTTTGGCCTAACAGAAAGATGAACAAATGGGTCCTTGATCAAGCCAGAGCTTTCCCTAGAAGCAAAACTGACAAAGTTAAGGCTGTTGTAGTTTGGGCACATTGTGAAAAGGCAGAACATCCTAGAGAAGACAATTATGTCAGGGAAAGTCAAATGCTGAAGAAGAAAAAGAAGACCAAATATGCTATGGATTAACTCCATAAATAAAGCCACAGACTGGAATTTACAAGAGCTGAACTGGGCTGTCCTGAATAGGATAATCTGGAGAACTTTCATTCATAAGGTCACCATAAGTCAGAGATGACTTGAAGGCACATAACAACAACAAACTTTTGTGGGCTTATTTACAAGGCTATTTTATTCAGAAGGAATATAAGCTGCTGGCTTCCCAAGATGTTTCTTAGACACAGACTGAACTGCCCTTGTACAGCATATGCAAGCATGCCTGTCTGCTTGTCTTCAGAATGCCAGGCTTAACACTAATTGAAGCAGTCCCAAACCATATTTACTTTTTAACGATCCATAACTTATGTGGAATGAAAAGCATTCAGCCTGCATTCAATAAATATCTGTTCTAATCCAGACATTTACTATGCATATATATACTTCAAGTTCTTGCTTCCACAAAGGCTGTGTCATTTATTTCAAAGAAATGAACAGCTGCACTTGTCTATTCCTTTATATATGGAGACCTCTTCTTCTAATGATCAATTCAGATATGCATGTGTGCATGAATCTACATGTGTATGCATTTGGAATTGCCTGCTGCGCTATAAAATAGAGACAGGATTTGCTTTTATTTCAAAATAAGCACACATAGGGAGAAAAATCTGGCTTAGTGCTTCTGTCTTATCACTCTACACTCACTACACTAATTTACTTCTCAACTTTAGTGCCAAAAGCAAGTCAGTATGGAGGAAATCTACTTAAAGAACCAAGTACAGTGATATAAGGTGGAGAGGCAGGTTTCACTGCAATTTGCCTTGCACTCAATTTGATCTAAAAACAAGCCCACCCACCAGTGCATTATAACTGACAAAGCATATCTGGCTAAAGACGTTGTGCATACACAAAGGCTTCTGTGCATATTAATGAGATACATTATAACATGGTTGTTAGGAGGAACATTGGAATAAAGGAAAACTAAAGGTATACAAATTATAGTAGCATGGGACAATACACCTGGGCATAACAGACAAAGGCTTATGCACCACAGCACAGAAAGCAGCTCTAACCGTGTCCCATAATAGTCTTCCAAAAATGTAGGAAGAAAGCTCAAGTATAAAGCACATGGACTTCCATGTCTATATGCTAATGCCTGGAATATGAGAAATGAACAGCATGAACTTGAACTATTAATACAGGACAGTGAATATGACCTGATACGTTTAACTGAAACTTGGACAGGAATTCAACAACTGAAGGATACAACCAGTGCTTTTTTTGTAAGAAAAATGGTGCCGGAACTCATGAAATTATTTACCTTTCGCAGGTAGTCAATCACTGTATACACACTCACACACGTCAGTTGCGTAACGAAACATAATGGTTGCCACACGCAGTAAGCACTCAGCGCGCGACCACACGACCAATCACAAGCCGAGCAGCACCACAAGCCGAGCAGCATCACAACCAGCACAGACAAAGTACGCATGCATCAGACTCGACACACAAGCAGCCTGCATGCACCGTTTTAATGATTTTGCCGCCGACCTGCTATGCTCGACAAGGTGATTCAAATCCATGTGGACCAAACATAAAATTTTCAAAAGTTACTTTTAAAACTTGGAAAATCTGTTGAAAAAAGGTGCCGGGAATTCCTGTGCGTTCTATGACAAAAAAAGCACTGGATACAACCTATTCTAAAAGAACAGAAAGAACAGAAAGCTGGAGTCACACTATAGTACATACCTCTGCACAGAAATACAGTAGAACAAGATTAGTACCCCAGTTGAGAGCATATAGATTAATATAAATGGAGTAAGGGATAAAAAGAACACAGTGGTTGGAGACTATTACCAACCAGTCAAGGGGAATATGAGGATGAAACTTTTGAAAAGCAAACTCCCAGTGTTTCAAAGAGGCATGATGTCATTATGGGGATCTTCAATTTCTCTGATATCTGTTGGGAGACAAATTCTGCCAAACACAGCTTCTCCAAGAGATTCCTAACATGTGTTGCTGATACCTTTCTTCAACAAAGAGTGGAGGAAGGAAGGAAGGAAGGAAGGAAGCTACCCTTGACCTGATACTATCCAACAGGGAAGACCTAGTGGAAAATGTGGCAGTTACTGGAACTCTGGGTGAAAGTGACCATCCCATACTTACCCTTATATACTTAATTTTAAATTAAGCAAAAGTCAAATATAGACAAACATGTGTCCTAGATTTTAGGAAAGCCAATTTAATAAGTTCAGAATAATGATAAGTAAAGTCTCATGGCAAATGACTCTAATAAGAAAATGAGTCCAAGATGGATGGAAAAAAATTAAAAAGGAAATTCTAAAGGCACAATTACAAACAATTTGAACAATGAAAAGGGTTAGAAGAAAAGCAGAAGATACCCATGCGGTGTCACAAAGAGCTTAAGAGATGATCTCAAAAAAGAAAGAAAAAAGAAAAAAAGAAAAAGAAAAAAAAAGACATGTATAGGAAGTGGAAGAAGGCCACGCTACAACAGAAGAATACATGTAGGTAGCATGGAATTTCAGGGATGACATCACGAAGGCTAAAGCTAGGAATGAACTGAGGCTAATGAAGAATGCTAGGCGCAAAAAAGAAAGTCTTCTTCAGCTATGTCCAAAGTAAAAGAGAGAGGAAAGAAATGGGGGTGGGGGAGGTTCAACTACTCAATGTGGATGGCAAAAAAACCCCCCAACAAAACAAAACAAAACCAAAACAGTACCAGACAACAACAAAAAGGCAGAAGTACTCAATTCCTACTTTGACTCAGTCTTTTCCTGAAAGATCTATGACCTTCCTGATGAGAAGTACAAGCTGAAGGAGCAGAATGGCAGCTCAAGATAGGCAGATAAATGGTCAAGAACAATCTAACTGGGCTGAACAAGTTCAAACACCCAGGTCCCAATGAACTTAATCTTAGAGTAATAAAGAAGCTGGTGGAAGAATGCTCAAAACCACTATTTATTATTTTTGAGAAAGCATGGAGGGCAGGGGAAGTGCTAGATGACTGCAGAGGGGCTAATGTTGTCCCTATCCTCAAGAAAGGCAAAAAAGAACTTGGAAACTATAAACCAGTCAGTCTGACATCAATCCCTGGGAAAATTCTGGAGCAGATTATAAAGCAGTCAATCTGCAAACACCTTGAAAAAAAATGCAATGATTACTAGAAGCCAACATGGATTCCTCAAAAATAAATCCTGCCAGACTAAGCTGCTTTCATTTTTTGATTAGGTAACCTCCCTGATGGACTGTGGAAATGCTGTACACATAATCTATCTTGACTTTAGCAAAGCTTTTTGACAAAGTGCCCCATGATATCCTGATTAGCAAACTAATAAAGAAGTTGACTAGATGAAACAACTATCAGATTGAACCACAGCTGGCTACAGAATTGGATTCAAAAAGTGCTCATCAATGGCACCTTCTCAAACTGGGGAGAGCTAGCAAGTGAGGTACCACATGATTCAGTCCTGGGCCCAGTGCTCTTCAATATTCATATTAAGGATTTGGATGAGGAAGTGCAGAGGACAATTATCAGATTTACAGATGATACAAAACTGAGTGGGATAACTAATATGCTGGAAGACAGAAGATTCAAGGTGATCTTGACAGATTGGAGAGCTGGGCTGGTAGCAACAGAATGACATTTAATAGGGACAAAAGTCAAGGTGTGCACCTAGGAAAAAGAAACTAAATGCATTGTTACAAGATGGGGGATACACTCAATAATACTGCAAGTGAGAAAGATCTTGGAATTGTTGCATATCACAAGCTGAATATAAGCCAACAATGTGATGAGGCTGCAAAAAGGGTATATGCTATTTTAGGCTGCATGAATAGAAGTATCGCTTCCAATTCAGGTGAAGTACTAGTTCTTTACTCAGCACTGGCTAGACTTCATCTGGAGTACATTTAAGAAAGATGCAGAAAAGCTGGAAAGGGTTCACCTGAAGGCGACAAAGATGATCCAGGGACTGGAAGC